TTGCTGTAAGCCCCTTCAAGAGAGGTATTTAGGCACTGTGGACCTGGTTGGCATACTAGACGACAGCGTTATCAACTACTGGCCAGAATTGTTGTTATTCTGCCTCCGCTGCAATTGTAGGATGAGCCAATTGTGAAGCGTCTTCATCGTACCAATGGATTGCCTGAAGGTGTGGAATCTCCTCTCCCTCTTGCACTGCATGACTCTGGCGGCCGAGCTCACTTTTCGCCTGGAAGAAGAGGTTTCCAGTGGAAAGGTTGTTGCCACTAATTCCGATCTCGCCTCTCTCCTCGTGACTCCCAATGCCCTACCCGTGATCATAAACAGGAAGTCACCAGGCGCATCGAGTTTCAGTTTTGTTAAACGCACTCAATCGGGACTGGAGTTGGTGGTCACTGGTCGGGTGGATAGGGAAGCCATTTGTCCGGCTAAGAGTGCAATTTCCAGTGGCCTTCGACTTGACACCTCACCACGTCCCCTCTTCCATATAGAGGATCCAAGTCGACTTCTTCCTTTTCGCTCCACATTCCACGACTACGATGCAATGTCTCCCAATTCGCCTGCATCGGATTGTGTTGTTTCACTTCGCGTTGCCAGTGGGGACAAAATATTCAACGTTAGGATTGAAATTCTCGACATAAACGATAATGCACCCTCTTGGAACAGTTCTACACTTTACCTGTCTCTTCGTGATGGCGATCCTGCAGGCACCATTCTCTACCTTCCGCTGGCAGAGGATGAGGATGTTGGACTGAACGGTGAAATAACGTACAGTCTTCAAGCCCTCGATGATGACTTGCATGGCGGCTACAGCCGTGCCCAGTTGGGCTTGTTTGAGTTGATCAAGCATTGTGAGACCTCGGGAGGTCAGAGAATGCCTGACATTGTGCTGCCACATCAGGCCAACGATCAAAAGCTGGCATTGCGTACGAAGACGTCGATTGATAGGGAACAGTTGCCGGAGATCATTCAACTTCGTTTGGTGGCTAGAGATGCCGGAACACCGACGTCACAACAGAGTTCCCTGAAGTTGGTGATAAATGTGACAGACGTGAACGACAATGCGCCCATGTTTGAGCGTGCCATCAACAAGATAGACATCCTGTCGGAAGACGCACCAGTTGGAAGGACATTGCTTCAACTCCGCGCCAAGGACATGGACAGTGGAGCAAATGCAGAACTCACCTACAGGTTCGAGAGTAATGGCCAACCCATGCTGGAGGTGATTCGACACTTCTTTGAGATTACACCTAGTGGACAGCTGAAGATCCTTCGCCGTTTGAACGTGGACAAAATGGAGGGGGAACAAAGCCTGCCATCGTCAACTCCCATCTCCTTTGGTGTGGAGGCAGTGGATGGAGCTAGTCCGGCGTATGCACTTACGGGGCGAACTACAATTCAACTTCAAATCAGCGACACAAATGACGAAGCACCACGGATTTTAGTGTACCCTGTTCATCCGCCCAAAGAGCGACCAGCAGGAAGCACGAGTGCTGTTGAAAC